AAAAACGAAACATCAGTCGGCCCCGTTGCGATGCTGCCACCAATGTCCACGAAAAACCGCCATTTTTCGTGGATTTTCCAGCATGACTCCTAGATTGTAAGCTCCAAGGATCAGGCCCTCCTTTCCCTCTTGTATTGAACTGTATTGTCTCCCAATCTATTGTAAAGCGCTGAGAAAACTGTTGGTGCTATATACAGTCATGGCCGAAATTGTTGGCACCCTTGATATTTTTCCTGAAAATCAAGTATTTCACACAAAAAAAAGGTATTGCATTAAAACATGTTTTGCTATACACATTTTTTTTTCCCTTTGTATGTATTGGAACAAAATAAAAACAGAGGCAGAAAAGCAAATTGACATAATGTCACACAAAACCCCAAAAATTTTTTTTTTATTGGACAAAAGTATTGGCACCCTTAACTTAATATTTGGTTGCACACCCTTTGGAAAACATAACTGAAATCAGTCGCTTCCTATAACCATCAATAAGCTTCTGACACCTCTCACCCGGAATTTTTTTTTTCTTCCTTTGCAAACAGCTCCAGGTCTCTCTTATTGGAAGGACACACCTTTTTCCCAACAGCAATTTTAAGATCTCTCCACAGGTGTTCAATGGGATTTAGATCTGGGCTCATTGCTGGCCACTTCAGAACTCTCCAGCGCTTCTTTGCCATCCATTTCTGAGTGCTTTTTGACGTATGTTTTTTTTCATTGTCCTGCTGGAAGACCCAGGATCTTGGACGCAAACCCAGCTTTCTGACACTGGGCCCTACAGTGCGACCCAAAATCCTTTGGTAATCCTCAGATTTCATGATGCCTTGCACACAGTCAAGGCACCCAGTGCCAGAGGCAGCAAAACAACCCCAAAACATCATTGAACCTCCACCATATTTTACCGTAGGTACTGTGTTTTTTTGTTCTTTGTAGGCCTCATTCCGTTTTCGGTAAACAGTAGAATGATGTGCTTTACCGAAAAGCTCTATCTTGGTCTCATCTGTCCACAAGACGTTTTCCCAGAAGGCTTTTGGCTTACTCAAGTACATTTTTTTTTTTTTGTAGTCTTGCTTTTTTATGTCTCTGTGTCAGCAGTGGGGTCCTCCTGGGTCTCCTGCCATAGCGTTTCATTTCATTTAAATGTCGACGGATAGTTTTTTTTGACACTGATGCTCCCTGAGCCTGCAGGACAGCTTGAATGTCTTTGGAACATGTTTGGGGCTGCTTATCCACCATCCGGACTATTCTGCGTTGCAATCTTTCATCAATTTTCCTCATCCGTCCACGACCAGGGAGATTAGCTACAGTGCCATGGGTTGCAAACTTCTTGATAATGTTGCGCACTGTGGACAAAGGCAAATCTAGTTCTCTGGAGATGGACTTGTAACCTTGAGATTGTTGATATTTTGCCACAATTTTTTTTTCTCAGGTCCTCAGACAGTTCTCGTCTCCTCTTTCTGTTGTCCATGCTTAGTGTGGCACAGACAGACACACAATGCAAAGGTTAAGTGAACGTCTCTCCTTTTTATCTGCTTTCAGGTGTGATTTCTATATTGCCCACACCTGTTACTTGCCCCAGGTGAGTTTACAGGAGCATCACATGCTTGTAACATTCTTATTTATCCGCAGTTGTGAAAGGGTGCCAATACTTTTGTCCAGCCCATTTTTGGAGGTTTGTGTGACATATGTCGAATTTTTTTTTCTTTCCTCCCTTTTTTTGTTTTGTCCCAATACACACAAAGGGAATAAACATGTGTATAGCAAAACATGTGTTAATGCAATACGTTTCGTGAGAAATACATGATTTCCTGGAGAAATATCAAGGGTGCCAACAATTTTTTTTTTTTGACTGTAAATCCTGTATAATAATAATAATATATAAATCCTGTATAATAATAATAATAATATATAAATCCTGTATAATAATATATAAATCCTGTATAAAATAATAATAATATATAAATCTGTATATAATAATAATAATATATAAATCCTGTATAATATTAATAATAATATATAAATCCTGTATAATAATAATAATATATAAAAATCCTGTATAATAATAATGACCAATAAAAATAAATGAGCAGATCTGCGAAAAAACGACCCGTCTACGGCCTGCATAAGGCTCCATGTACACTGGACGTTTGGAAAACACTTCTGAACGATGGAAACTGACTGCTGGAAAACGTAGGTTAAAAAACCTTGTGGTTTGCGTTTAGAAGCGTTTTTTTTTAAGATAACCTCAGGAGACCTTCCAAAAACGCCCAGAAATGCACTGAAAAACAGTAAAACATTAACTATTTCAGACATTTTGAGAGAAATAGAGAGAGCAGAAGCAGAGAGAGCAGTATGTGTGGAGATGACCTGTCTTTTCTGGTTGTATTCAGTATGGATCCCATCATGAGCATAATGCGGCACGTTCTACCCATTTTTTCCTTCACGCAAAACCTGGAACTGGTGCGCCGGTGTACCGGGTCCATTTGAATACATGAAAAACACTTTG